AATGTAACTTATAAGATGGGAAACACGCTTATTTAGTAGCACTGATGAGCAACAGGTTATGAACAGTGTATTTTTCGGCCTGCAAGAGAACAGGTGTCACGTTACTACTGCTGGAATAATTATTTTTTTTAGAGTAGAATAATGTTGCGTCAGCGAGTCACATGACCACCGTGACGCAACGTTTCTAGAACTATCATGTACTTTGGCGAATGTTCAAGTTCTTACTAGAAATAGGGTACGCTGGTATATAAAAGAGGGGAAGGTAATGTGTGTGTAGATAGTGAGTAACTGAACTGCAGTCGGAAGTATTGTTGACGTTCGTTGATTAGCGTTTGTTTTAACGCGATTGTTGAAGTTGAGAATAAGTGTATCGGTAAAGTTGTATTCGGAAAGAATAAACCAGTTTTATTAAGTAAAGAACTTGTGTCGCTTAAGTTTTGTCGGAACGAAGTTACAGAAAGTTAATTAACAAACGGAGACGTAACAATAAGTTCAAGACTCATTTTGGCGAAAATTTAAAATCATAAAGTTGTTGATAGGATAAAGAATATGGATGTTTCATAATTTTCCGAATTCTTTCTTTAGCAACACTCCAGAAATAATTAACAACGCTTCTAGCTTAGATTGGTCACCAGTTATGCCTAGAATACATAAATAAAGAGAGATGCAAATACAAATGATAACAGTGTAATTGTTTGAGTCATCAACCTATCTGCCGTGTACAGACATATATTTGTGCCCCCCCCCCCGGCTAGTGTGGCTCAGCGTTAAGTCTGAAGGCTTATAACGCTAAAGACCGGGTTTCGATACCCATGGTAGGCACAGCACAGATAGCACATTATGTAGCTTTGTGTTCAATTAACAACAACACAAAAATAAATAATTACTATTACAGACAGCCCGTCAGCTTATACCTGATTATATCACCCGTTATTTATACAGATCTATCAAGGCCGGGATATTATGAGCCCTAATGCTATGTATTTTGGAATATCTACTTTTAAGGGACAATCAGGACTATAAATACAGTATTGTAATGTATTTTGTTAATATGACTTTGTCTAATTGTGTTTTTATCAGTTTTTCTTTCGGATCTAAAATGAATAAAATTCTTAAAAATCTGTTTTATAATTTTACTTGTAATCATCATGGCCTGTGATGATTGATACACATGAAGTATAATTGACAGCAAATAAAATTGTTAAAAACAATTATTGTTTTAAATGTAATTTAAACGTATGGTATATGTTATCGTATAATAAAACCTACAAGCTGAACACCACTTTCAAATATAAAGGTTTTGTTGACCCGAAAGATTTCCAGTTTTTGGAAAGGTTCATTTGTTAGGTGGAATTGGAAGAGTAAACCGAGATAACTTAAAAAATATAATGAAATATAATGTGTGCGAAACCATGAGATTTTCAACAATGTTAATGCGCGCAACAATACAATTCAGTGATAATGTGGTATTTGAAATATAGCGTGTGTTTCTATCTACTTGTAATATCACAGTATTGATTCTGAACTTATTATTTGTTCTGTATATGCACAGGTTTCACATAAGACGTAGTCGAGAAAGCTGTTGATTTCACTCTAAAGCTACTTTTGTGCCTTTGTTGTTCTCAGAATGTATAATACTTTTTATTGCTTAGGTATGATATTCTTCCATACAACACGTTGTGTAAGACTGCGTTTGCTAAGGTGATATCTAGAGGCTACAGCCCCACCTATGTTGTAATGAGAATAACCAGTCATGAAGTTAGTGCAGGTTGCCTTGGGAAAATGTTACGTTTCCTACGTGATAATGATTTTGTGTTCTGTCAGTCTGGTATACGATTATTTGGATGAAAGACACTAATCTTTATTATTTATTTGTTATTAAACTGAATTTAGAAAAATTATGTTTAGTAAGTTGCTAATAAATTGTTTGTTCTATATTTAGTGACGCGTGGCCTTTTAGAGTTTCATGTAAAGTCTTGTTTCGTAGTCTTTTTGCTTAATCATATAGATATGTATATATCTGGTAGTTTAGGTGTTAATCAGAATACGACAGAGAAGAGCATATTCAATCTAGCATGGTTGGATATCAACACTTAACGTTTTGTACAGCTATTACTGCATTATTTTTAATATAATACAATAAAACATTAGTTACCGGTATTTAATCTTGGTGGAGTTCACGTTCTGTTGAAATATGTAAATTAGACTCTTGGAATTATTATTTGGTCTTAGAAAGTTCTGGAATGTTTCTCCACTTGCCTGTGCAGACCATGATATGTTTACACTTAGACACACTAAATATACATTAAGAAAATTAATAATAAAAAAAGCTTTCCAAAAATGGAAGAAAGGTACTTCATAATTTCTTACATTATTTCATCATACATGTAAAGATCGCTTGTGTGCGTTTACGTAGCTAAGTGTAAAGCAGTAATAGTTGCTTTAGTTATAAATAATAAGAATTCGATATTCTTGTTTTTTTAATGTGAGTTGCTGTCATTTTTTTAATAGGTTATATCTTAGCTGATGCTGGTTATGACGTATGGCTGGGAAATTTTAGAGGAAACACCTACTCTCGTAGACATGTTACACTTTCCACTGATTCTAAAGAATTTTGGGAATTCAGGTAATTATTTGAAATAATAAAGATTATGAGTGTCTGTTGGTTTTAAATACACGTTGAAATAATACATGTCTCCTGAACTTTGATATTTTTGAGAACATAATTTACTTACATGGAATGAAATTAAGTTTACAACTGTACATTCAGTTACTTGCTTTTGGCCTTTCTTTGTTATTATTCTGTTAAGGTGAGTCAAGGTACTGTATTGTTAGTGTGTCTTTGTTTTATGGAAGTAGAAGTCTATAAAACGCAAAGTACAGGTTATTTATTATGTTAATTAAAAAAACCTATATACAGCAGTTCGTAAATTAACGTATAAATGTTGTGCTTGAATTTTTTCATGTATATGTATTTAGTTCGTAACTACTCCAAAAAAGTTAGCTAAATTGACATTTTTGTTTTCTAGTTTTGATGAAATGGCCCTTTATGATTTGCCAGCTATGATTGATTTTGCTTTGAACAAAACTGGAGAAACTCAACTTTACTATATTGGTCACTCACAAGGCACCCTTACAGCATTTGCTCTTTTGTCTGAAAAGCCTGAATATAATGAAAAGGTTTTGTATGAAACTTTCATATACCACAGAAAAAATCCACCAAGATATGTGTTTTTAACCATAAGGAAATAACTGTGCGATGTACATATATTACATAAGAAAGAAAATTGTATAATGTAAGTTTTTAAGTACGTTTTGGCTCTTTAATCATTTCTTTCCAGATCTTTTCACAAGCTGTTTTAGTATTGGTCAAAGGCCCGGCATGGCCAGGTGGTTAGGGCGCTCGACTCTCAATCTGCGGGTCGCGGGTTCGAATACCCGTCACACCAAACATGCTCGCCTTTTCAGCCGTGGGGGTGTTATAATGTGACGGTCAATCCCATTGATCGTTGGCGGTGGGTGGTGATGACTAGCTGCCTTCCCTCTAGTCTTACACTGCTAAATTAGGGACGGCTTGCGCAGATAGCACACTTGTAGCTTTGCGCGAAATTTATAACAAACAAACAAAGAAGTATTGGTCAACAAAGATAATATCCAAAAGTAGTGTTATTGCAAATAGTGATTGAAACTTGTTTCTACAGAGGCATCAATTCCAGATAATTTTAGGAGAATATTTACAAGCATGTGATGTTTTTATTTATTGATGGTTACATAGGAAAATAATCATTAAATCTCTGACTTAAAAACTTTACACAGAACACAATCCATTCATTAAACACCTACATATTTATGATGTATTATTTTCATCGAAGAAAACATTAATGCTCACAATTGTTTGCAAATTGAATTTTGCCCTGAAACTGTAGATTAATTTGTGTAACTATAAGTTGGTTCTTTCTTTTTTATTTCTATTCATAAAAGTTGCTGAAAATCATATTTGCTTTTTATAATTGAACTACATATTTCCAGGTTGTTTCATATACCTAGTATGATATAAACCTAAACAGTGAAACATAATATGACTCCTCTGTCATTTGATGTTCTTGAAGTTATGGTACATTTAAATACCTAGTCTGATATAAACCTAAACAATAATATGTCTCCTCTGTCATTTGATGTTCTTGAAGTTATGGTACATTTAAATACCTAGTCTGATATAAACCTAAGCAGTGAAACATAGTATGACTCCTCTGTCATTTGATGTTTTTGAAGTTATGGTACATTTAAATACCTAGTCTGATATAAACCTAAACAGTAAAACATAATATGTCTCCTCTGTCATTTGATATTCTTGAAGTTATGGTGCATTTTAAAAAAAAGTTAGTATTTCATCCCAATAATAACTATATTTTGTAATGTGAATTACAGCTAAGAACTTTCTTTGCTCTGGCTCCAGTGGCGACTGTGGGATACATAAAAAGTCCAATTCGATACTTTGCTCCATACACCAAGGATATCGAAGTGAGTATTCTTTCAATAATGAATGAACAATAAACTTATCTAAATGTGAACTCTAATCATTCTCATTTTATGATGAAAAGTAACGTAATAGTAAAATTAAACTAACTGTGAAATTGTTTAACACATCACCAAGCAGTTGAAAGTACACGGTTTGTTTTGATCAGAAAGCTTTGCTACATAAGTGAGAAAAAAAATGAATTTTTCTAGCATAAAACAATTATGCAGTATTTGAAGTGAGGCGAGATGCCATCCCACTTATTTTCAGGAGGGCTCCAAACCATCCCGCTACCATTTAGTAGACTGTAAGCTTCTCAGAAGGGAAAGGTTCAATGGCGATGCAATAAATATTTACGGCAGCAAATAACTGGGAAGAGAAACTATTTTTTTTCCCTTAAAATGTTATGTAAGAGCAAAACAGAAATGAAACAAAGTAGTACAAGGATAGAGGGAATAAACCCTCGCACTACCGGCTCAGTCGGTGTGACCGAGTTTGTAACCGCAAAGTAACCATCAGTTTCCATACTATGACTCGTAACAGTATACACCTGTTTATAGTTAAATCTATTGTTTTATTGGCATAGCTCATTGTTATGCTCCAAAAAAGGAATTTAGATGATAAAAACATTGTAGACTAAACGAATCTGAGAGAAGAGAGATTATATATTACAAAAAGTATGGTAATTCCAAATCTAAACTTGTCACAAAGTTTATTCACGTGTAATATACTGTACATAAGATAATTTAGTAGTATAGAGCTAGTACATCTTAAACAACTAAATCTTACTAAAAGTGCTGTAAAAAGCTGACAAACAATCACTGTTAAAATTGTGAAAATAAATAGCAAAAATAATTGTTCAGCAAATTTATATTAGCTTTCCAGTGTGGTCACATGCGAATGGTTAGCAAGTTCTCCTATATTTTGGTATTTTATAAGTGCTTGAATACATGAATAGAACATCAACTGTGGATATAGGGTAGTGGGTGAACATTTTACAGTGTATTATATTGTGTCAACTATAAAGGATTCAAGTGTAAATGCTATTGTGTGGGATGTATTCTTTACATTGGGCGTGAAACCAATCTGCAAAGTGTCTGTACATATAAATAAATGCCATGGATATTACAAAATCCTAAACAAATAAGATATTGTTGTCATATAAGTAGACCAATGCTTTGTTAAAATACTTACAACCCTTGTCTGGTTTCAAGATGGCTAAAATAATGTATTGGAATTTCTCACCTAGATCCCACTTCTTAATCATTTAGAACACCTTTGGAAACATGGCTATAATACGAAAGTTTATACTATAGTTTTACACTTTTTTTATGAATTATCCAAGGCTTTGAAATTATACGGAGGACAAATTGCATTAGATGTCTCCCTGTCGTTTCTAATTTCGAACTACCTACCAGAGGGAAGACAACCAGTTGTCATTTCCCTACCACCCACCTTCTACACCAACAGATAGACTTTCACTGTTATAGTGCACCCACAGCCTTTGTGGTATTGCCTTTGAAATCCAGAGCTCCATCACAAGGCTAACCTAACTTCCTTTATAGAATATCCGTAGTACTTCAAGTCAAAAGTAGAACTGCACTATATTATGACAGTGATCTGTAGAAGTTCCCACCGACCCCATTGAGGTTTCTTTATGTTCAGATAAATTGGTAGTACAATATATGTATACTTTACTTAGTGTCATGAAATGAACTTTTCTTCCAGATACTTTTAAAATTGTTGGGAGTTAAGGAGTTTCTGCCAAACAGCTGGCTAATCAAGTTGCTAAGTGACTTGGTATGCACAACGGAGATTAAAGTGTTTTGTGAAGAGATAATATTTTTGATTGTTGGTGTTGATCCAGACCAAATGAATTCTGTAAGTACATTATAATGGTAAGGTTTGAAAACATTATAGATTTATAATATTACTTTTTCATTCATTTCTTTCTCAAACATTAGTACATATATAAGGATTTTGTATAAAACTGAACATTTTTCATTTGATAAAAGTACATATAACTTGCATGTGATCACTTACAGTGCATCAAAGTTGAAGACTTTCCTTCAAATGTATTATATTATATCTTCACCTTTTTTAGACACGTCTTCCAGTTTATCTTTCCCATACCCCTGCTGGAACATCCTCTCAAAACCTAGTTCACTTTGCTCAGGTTAGAAAAACAGCTCGTTTAAATTTCTTACTTTATTATTTATGAATGAGGTGGTAAGAAAATACCTACAATAAATTTACTTTGTTAATTTTCTGTTAAGATGATGCAGTTGTTATCCTATAAAATGCTGTAAAAATTGGTATTTTATGTGTGAAGAAAGGTGTCATAGTAACAGTGAGAACACCTAACTCAATTCTTGTCATTATTTTCTGAAAAAGTGAAAACTGAGACCTTGTAGGATGTGAAATATATTAGCTTAATATACTAATGTGTCTGCCCCGCTAAGAATTTCATGTAATATGTTGAAGTTAGTGTCAGAGTATCAATATGTCAGGCCAATAGGTGGTATTCCTAAAATACGGACTCCTACTTTTATCAAATCCTTATCTAAGCACTTGAAGGATCATTTTTATCTTAAAGACCATCAAGTCAGTGTCCTACAAAACATCATAGACAAGATTATAGAGAAGGCTGTCACTAGAAGGTTGACTATGGGATTGGACCACTGCTACCCTCATCATCATCAGGTGGTTATCTTGGTGGAAGAAAAATATAAATCAACGCTGCTAAGTTCACTGCTGACATATGGGAATGCTCAGAATAGTCATCAGTGTAACATGTGTAAGATGGGTCATAACTGAACTACAACTACCAGAAGATGCATCATGAAGCATGGAAATTGGTAATAAGACTATATCATCATCAACAATGGTCTGCCAAAAGGATCACCCCTCTTTTCAGTCTTCTTAGACATATACACCATTGATATAGCTCACCTTGATAGTCCAACCAGATGCCATGTGTTTACCTTTGCTGACGAACAGCAGAGGCTCTAGCAAAGCTGAAATAGAAAACAGGATGCAAGTATCTTTTATCAGAGCGAGAAAATAATGGTTGATGCAGTGAAATAAGAATGGATATCAGTACTGCCAAAGCCATATTCTACGCACTCAGTAACAAGTATACTGATAAGGACAAACCATCACTATCCTTTGCAGGCATTGACATCCCTCTGGTATAAACAATTAAGCACCAGGAGATAACCTTTCACAGACAACTCAACCCCACAAAACACACTAACACCGTTATAACTAGCGCTACTAAAGGCATCAGCGCACTGAAAGCTGCAATAGGAAATAGAGCTGAAAAATATCATCTATTTATGTTTTTCCAATAATTTATTCACTCTGTCCTGGATTATGCACTACCGATAATCAATATGAATTTTATACAACGAGATAAGGTTGAAAAGATTCAAAACACTTGTTTAAGACTGGTCATGGGATGTATTTCAGCCACCCCAATCAATGCCATATTACACCTCACAAGTCTCAGCAGCATCGCACAGCATTAAAAAGACTCACAAGCTAAATTCTTCACTAGGGCCTAGTAGTCAACACCATGCATTCCATCATCAAGCCATTGTCATTTTCAATTGGGACATTCTAGTTCCACACGACAGCATCGTAAGACCATCACCCGTATGCATGTGCCAGTCCATGCAAGAGTAAAGCTAAATGAGGAAGATGAGGAGTTCGCCTATATCAAATTTGGCATAACTTTATTGGTAAGATATTGACATTCTCTACACTATTTAGGTGAAAAGAAGTACACATGTAAGGTCGGCATCAACATTCAAAGCGAATGAGACTGTTGGTAAACAAAGTACTATATTATGTAGGAATCAATACGACAGTTTACAGCTAGAAATCTTCCAGTAACAACAGTGCAAATTCTCTTCTTCCTCCTGCGAGGCATCTGGCCTCCATATGAGAGTAGAGTGGCTGTCGATGTAGCACCTGAGATTGTCACCTAGTACTCAACTCAGTTAAGAGTGTCACCACTTTAAATTCTACTGAATCTCAGTATCACTTCTTCAAATAAACTTAGGATTTGTTAGATGGTGTATTGTTTTCAAAATTTCTAGAATTAAGTCATTGGTTGTTAATACTGATTCATACCAAGCTTCTTAAGTCTGTAAACTTTGTGGGAAAAAACGATAAACGCTAGATTGATTGATATTTGTATACCTATTTTGCATGTCTAATCATTAGATAATAGTGATGTTTATGCTATTTCATGGAAGAGATTAAAACCATTCTGGTAATTTATGTTAAATAAGTTGTTTCAGTTACTTTTAAATGTATCCATTTTCAAAACTTCTAGTTCAATGACATATTGTTATTGAAAAGACGTAATTTTAACATTTGAAATCTAAACTTTTTAACGACGATAATGTATAAAGAAACTTTAAATTCTATATTATTTATTTTATATTTACAAAGCTAGTCAGTGAAAAAAACAACAACATGAAAAGACATTTTGGAGTTAAAATAAAAACATAAAACAATGTAATATTTCTATGAGCTTAAAATCCAAAACCTAAGCAAACTCTGTAACTATATACATACTCTCTAGGTTTTTATGTGATGTTATTAATTATTTTCGTAATTTAATACAAGGACAAAGTTAGATTAAAATCTGAAAACTGATATGTTCTTGTTTACTTAATAGTTATTCTTTATGAGAAGTATAGAATATTAAATGATTTGTTTGTTTTCAGTTGGTGAATTCAAAAAAACTTTTAAAATATGATTATGGAAAACATAAGAATATGAAGAAATATAACCAGGTAAGAAATTAATGTTTCTTTATTGTATTGTATTGTTTCAAATTATCCTTACTATATTGTTTAAAATATGTGATTTAAGCTTGTTATTTAAAAAAATGTCAAAGTTTGTAAATGTAAAAAAAAACAAACACCATAACTTATAAAATCACCACTTGGTGATGTTTTTGTTTTATTTGCTTCAGCCAACCCCACCTGAGTACTTCATAGAAAACATGACTACACCAGTGGCTTTGTTTTGGGCTCAAGATGACTGGCTTGCTGATCCTCGTGATATTGCTTTGCTACAACCACGTTTGAAACACATGATAAAGAGTTACATGGTGGAATATGCGAAGTGGTCACATGTGGACTTCATATGGGGAATAGAAGCAAGAAAATATGTCTACGATGAACTCCTCAAAATGTTACAGAAAACCCACTGAGAATGCTACAGAGAGATTTCTGTCTGGAGAAGATGTGAAAATAGTGCAAAAAATTATACATTTCGTGTATTGAATTTAAGGTCACTTAACAAATGTCTAATGTTTTTATTGTGAAATTAGTTTTTTCCATTCGGAAATCTTTCTTAAAGCTACAAGCTTCAAAGCACAATTCATTATCTGTGTAAAATGTTTTAATCCAGTTTGTACCAGAAGATTGAATCCTTTTATAATGTAGTAAATAATCTGTATTCATCCCTATCTCAAGAAATATCATCAAACATTTTTATCTTGATAAAAGAGTTAGCACAAAGGATCACATATAAAGTGTAAGAAACTTAAAATAAGACCCAAAACTCGAGCGCTTTCGAATAGTTGACTATTCTTCTTCAGGAGAACAAAGAGTGGGTCTTATTTTAAGTTTATCAAACATTTTTTAATGTTATAAAGGCAATTAGGGATCGATATTTATATACGTAACCTAGCTAGTTATTTTCTATTTCTACTTTGACTCAGACTAGCACAATTACAGTGATTTGATTAGATTAACATACTTACAGTGAGTTGCCAAAGTCGGGATAATTGTTTTAAATTTTAAGTAACTCAGTTTTTGTAGTTTTGAGTTTCTTGTTTCAATATTTTTTGGAGCATTAAAACTTTATATTATCATTATAGCTAGCTATGTTACGTATATATCGATTCCTACTTGTCTTCATAAAATATACAGTTTTTATTATACTTGTTTGTTTCTTTTTTATTAACTATATTTTTGTGCGCCAGCAATACAAAGTGTGGAGTGCGCATATATCCGATTCGATTTTACTACTCATTAGGATCTCTACCAACCTACCCTCAAATCTAAATTTATGCCCAAAGTAGCGCATTGTCCGTTATATATATATACCAGTATTCTTATCGGTACAAGAAAGGAATCAATGAGACCCCAGACGGAAGAGTTCTGTGAAAGAAGTAAAGCGATAAAGTTCGTAATTTTTTCTGTACACTTGTCTGATGTAAGATGAAAATTCGTTGAAATAGTGAAATTTTGATTCACTACATAAAAATGCATAAAACTATTTAAGCGGCTTTATAAGTACAATAAGGTTTAGTTTTGCTTAGCCAATATTTGAAATAGTTATTGTTAATATTTAGACATTTAAAGGTGGTTTTAAACGGGTGATTTTTATGGCAGCCATTTTGTTTAATCACGATCCCTACTGTTAAGTACTACCGTACTTAATAATATTCATGTGTGATCATTAATCTATATTAAACACTTTTTTAATGTTCATGTAATATGATGATTAATCTATATTAATTACTGTCTTATAGGTAAGACTTCAATACTATAGACAGTAACATTTTTCTTACTGTGGCCTAACTGACCATCGTAAAATGGCACCACTTTGTTTCAAGAACTCTTTTAAAATTCAAGGGTTAATTGGTCTTTTACAGACAAGACAAATATTATATGTGCTTGAATTAAAAATACAGTAGTGTGTTTAGATCGTAAAAACAAAGCTTTAAGTTTTGGCACTTAACTTTTATTAAGAATATCTAGCTATTCTATGAATTAAATTAAAAACTATCCGAAATAAGTTATTTAGTATTAGCGACAATATATTCTTATTAGAACATTACAAGCTGATTTTGACAAGCTTCGCAAATCTGCTACCTTTATGTAAATGTACTGCGAAGGAGGATGTCGGTATCAAAAATTATAAATGCTATGACCTAATAAATAAAGACAAGAACACCTGATGAACGTTTTAGGGTTTTGATTTTTCTATATGATTTGAAAAATCTCCCTATATCACAAAGTATTTTAATGTAAAATCTGGAGACGGAAACAGTATGTGAATATGTATATATATATATATATAAAGAGAGAGATAGGTAGGTAGATAGATATATTTATTTTGTTATTTTATGTGGGATTTATCTGGGATTAGGATGTTATTCGCACACACACACACATACATGTGTTTATATATATTTGTACATAATCGTCAACTGTTTTATTAGATAAAGGTTTTTTTTTGTTACATCTTCGTTCAGAATATTCATATGTAAAATTTCATAAAAACTAGCTAAGGATACCCATTTAGGAAGACAAATTGTATAAGGGACAATGTTAGATAATGTTTCTATTTTCTTCATTGAATATCTAATGACCTCATTAGATGCTAATTGCCTACCCTACTTTGTGAAAGACAATAACTGGCTGATTTAACTGTTTAAGTACATGTATATTGAAATTGAAATCTTAAAACAACATAGCTCACGTACACCGTCAAACACCAATTACCATATAAAAAATACGGTAATCACGGCAACTAACTGTGGGTGATGGAAGCCAGAAATCTATAAAAAAAGTGGAAATGTGTTTATCCCCTTTTCGAGCAAAAATCCTAAAACAAAACCGTCCTTGTACACAGGCAGACAGTTTTCAGTTACCATAAAAAATAGCGACAATAAAGCCAGCCTACTAAGAGTGATGGGCTAGTACACACACATAATGGATCTTATTTATTGTAAATTATACATAAAGCATATTTCTGGTATTGGTCTAAAATGTACATTAATCAATACACAAAACTAAGGAGAATGTAGTTTAAAATATCTCAGTTTAGGGTGATAATTTTCACGAATATTATAGTTCTAAACTTTATTAATTTAGATGAACAGAGAGAGGGTGATAAAAGTGTATAGTTTATATATGTTTGAATCTGAGAGCTTTGAAAAAAAATCTAATAATTCTGGTATGGAAGACAATAAGAGTATGTAGAGAATCACATCCCTAGGCTTTATCAGTGTAACCAAAAACAAAATCGCTTTTCAACCAACACTAACAATATTGTTATAACAGCATATAGAACAGAATCTATATAACTATGTAGGTTAACAGTAGTTTAATACATGTTCCCTTATAACTGACTACAATCTATCCCAGCAGAGAATGAGGCACTAGCGAGCTTAAAAGGGGACAAGGTAGTGGTTTAAGCTTCCTGAAAACTGAATCATATGAAATCAAGACATGAGACCAGCTTGTGACAAATAAAAATACTAGCCTTTATCTCGTAACCCGAAGACAAAACTGAAAAATGAAGTTATGATCTTTATTTGAAGTATGTTTTAAGTGCCGAAAGCTGGAAACCAATAGGACTAATGATCGTGATAAATCATGCTAAAGTACAGCCGTTTTTCAACGTTCCTTCAAATTTCTTCGTTTTGAATCCAAATCAGAGGTGTGTAAAACCTGTAATGGACTTAACATACTGTTACGTCTCTGGTCGTTAGTTAATTTTCCGTAAAACTTTTTTCCGAAGAAACTTTAGCGATACAAGTCCTT